AGAATAAAAAAAAAATTAAAAATAAAAATAAAAATAAAAATAAATATAAATATAAAGAAAAGAAAAGAAAAATAAAATAAGATAATATAAAATAACAAATTTTAAAGGTAGTAACATTAGGGTAACTCCAAATAACGCAAAGTTAATAATATAAAAATAAAAATAAATATAAAGATCATCAATAAAATTAGTTATGCCTTAAAAGATGATCATAGTATGAACTGCGGAAAACATCAAAAGACGCAACTCGAATGTTAACCGGGATCGCATTCCAAATGTCAACAGAAGGTCTTTTGTGTGCACACAAAAAAACGCCTAAAGATCGATGAGAGTAAGGAAGTAATATTGTGTGTGTTTTTTTTATGTTTTTGAAAAAGTAATATCAAAGATATTTATTTTTTATTCGCGCGGCGTTAAAAAGTGATATCCAGTAATGAAAGATCTCAAATGGAAATGTATGTGTTTTGTCACACCACATGTATTGTCAATATGTATTTAACGCGCGGTCGAATGGCGCGCGCTATTTTTTCTACAACGCCCGATTCCCACACACGTGTCTTACGCTCTCGATATATAAAATTGCGCGCAATAAGCTGTCGTTCGTGCTTCGAATATCGAGATTTAGTTGAGCGGCTTTTACGTATCCCGCAAAAGTGTGATAGAATACGGGTATATTTTCATATCGGCGCATATGCGCGTTTCGTGTAACGCTGACGTGTAACATGTGACGTGAGTAGCAACGCGGAAATGAATGTAATTATTTTCATCAGTACGCGATAGATATCGGTATTCGAAAACTTTTAGTTTGAAAACTTTTCAACGTCACACACATATTTAGATAGCCGCTAATTTCCTAAATTTGTTGCGCGAACACATAATTCTCCAACAGTCAACAAAATATAAATGAACAGAGATTAATATATTTATCTTATCTACAAATTATGTCAAAATGTTTGTTTTTGATCGAAATTCGAATTCGAACTTGGTTCTGACGTTATTTTATTTTATTTTTTTTTTGTTCCAAAAACTAGCTTGCGCTGCAGCGTGTTTTCGATTATCTTCCGTATTGCTCGGCAAATTTAATCGCCCGTGCGGTTACATTCACCGAATTCTGTATTGACAATCTGGCGACACTCGAAGAGAAAATAAGACCCGGAAAGCTTGATCGCGGGAGCTTGTTTTCGCGTCGATATGTATGTATGAAAGAGCCATTTTGTGTGTTGGCACAGAGAAAATTGCTGATATCAATGTCTGTCAGAATTTGCTTGAAATGTGAGCCCGAGAGAACGGGACACATTTAAACACGGGACGACAAACACAGGAAATCAAACCGATATTAATGGATTACTTCGATTTTTCAGTTCTTTTGTTAAAATTTATAATGCTGAAACGCAATTTATCTCAATCGTGATATTTGAACTGCCGTTTTCCATCTTTAAAAAAATATATACATATATTGTAATATATACACAGAGTGATTTTTTTTTTTTTTTTATATTTCAATTCCGAAATTCCCGTGCGAGATGATCTGATTAAAAAGAGTGTTCGTTCTTTCAAACTGAAATTTTTATCGGCTTACTAAATGTAGACATTAGATAAATGTGTCATAACGTCAATGTGACAGAATGTGTTAATTTTTTTACTTTGCGCGGTAATGTGTTTTTTTTTTTTTTTTAACACGCATGTAATCTCTCGCGAGTTTCGCGTGGAAAAAAAAAAAATAATCGCGACGCATATGTTATACTTCACTTTTTTTTTCCGTTCAACAATTTTTCCAACAACGTATTATTACCCATCGTGACGCGTTGGCGCGTTATATTCGTTCGACAATACTTAGACACCCAACAACAACAAGTGGCCACTCCATCAAGGCGCAGTTTTAATTTTGTATTCTCGCGCTCCGCTATGTTTATTCGATCAAGCATTTCTGATGCCAAATCCATTCACACGCAAACCCGTGAGATAGAAATAACGCGCGAGAGAATTAAAGAGAGAGAGAGAGAGAGAGAGAAAGAGAGAGAGAGAAAGAGATTCAATTATTTTTTAATAAAACCATGGGAATGACCGATTCTACTGAAAACACTCTAACAGAAGCAAACGCGCGAAACGTTTAATTGATGATAAAAAAAAAAAAAATCCACATGTTCGAAAAAAAACGTCGTGAAATTCTACGATTCAATAAAATAAATTTTACACATTATTGCGGAGATTAATAGTTTTACACGGTATAAATGAGTAAAAATAATTAAACACATTCTTACTGAGAAGTCGCAAAAGCATTCTCTGTCTTTGTGTAATTTGTGATCACGTTCCCTATAAATAAATATTCCTGTTTGAAAATTTAAATAACTTTTGCTTTAATGTATTTTCGTCGCGAGCTTTTCTACTTTCGAAAGTTTCTCGTGTGTCTTTTGGTACTTTTTTGCCCCTCGTAAAAGTGGCGAACAGACGTTGATAAGAGCGAACGAGAGGAGGCATCTTCGGGACGGGGGGAGCATTTCGCGCACAAGACAGTGTCCTTCCCCGAGCGTAGCGAGCTAGCACAGCGGGGAATGTGCACACATATACTCCTCCCTTGCACGCGCAACCGGGCCGCGCGAATAGCAATCTAGATGGCGTGCTAGGTGGTAATTCACTGTCCTGAGGGCAGAGTCAAGAATTTCACCTAGCGCGCGGCTGCTGAATTCCCCTTTGACGCCATCCTTTGCCCCGGGGCCGTTTAGCTCATTTACCGCCCGACTTGCGCGCGAAAACCTTTTGACGTATCCTTGCCTACCGCGTCGCCTCGCGCGCAACTTTTGACCGGATCCCTTTCGCCGCGTTTATTGACTCTTCCGGCGGCGCGTTTTCGCGTCCCTAAACTTCTTATCTCTACACGCGTTTCACTCTCAACGTACTTGCGGTGTTATTGCTTACAAATACACATACAGTCCGCATCTTAAAGAGAGAGAGAGAGAGAGAGAGAGGAGGGTGTTGGCAAAGATTTAGAAACTAACATTTCGAGCCTTTTAAATTAATATCCTTTTAAATCCGCTTTTATTATTAAGATTACATTAGATGACAAATGTTTCAGGTTTGTTTTTTTTTAAGCTCTAAAGCTTAACTCAAAAGCTCCTCACTGTCGACGACTCGTGGTTCTTAAAGTATTAACACGTCCTCACGTTACCGCGGACAAGGATCAGCTTTAAATTTTACAGCAAACGAGATATTACGTTTGCGCTTGTGTATCTTCTGCAAATTCAGCAACAAACTTTGAAGATGTAAAAAAAAAACAATTTTACACAATTATCTTGTGTTTCTTCTAAATATTTTAGCGAAATACTCGACTGTTGGCCAAAAACGCGTTTGTTATTGTCACAACAGATTAGATGGCAAAAGCTCCGAACTGCGTCGCAAGTTTTTTTATAGTTTGCATAAGAGGGACTCTATCAATATGCATGGACTTGTTATTTTTGTGATGTTAGCATCGCAAAATGCATTATAACGCTATCGCGCGTTGTCGCGCGTAACTCGCTGTCGGCTTACGGCTTATGATAATCGATTATTGATGTATGCTAACTAACTCTTTCGAGATTCATTCGTTAACGTGAACCGATAAGTGCGAACAGTTTCGATCCGCAACAATGAATACAATGATTTATTAATTTTTTTTTGCTCCGAGAAAAATAATTGTCTTTGCAAATTTTTGTCAAACCGACACATCGTTTAAGCGCCGCATCGTAATTTTGCAACAATGTAATGTTTTAATTATACGTAATTTTTTTTTAAAGTTTTTTTCAAAATCTCTGTGTACTTCGATCGAGATTGGTGGTAAAAGATGCACAGAGTTTCGAACAAAAAGAAGGGTCAATTTCACAAACAACAAGCACGTGACAACTCCGGAGATTACATTGTTAGACGCGTGGAATTTGAATTTCAACAATGTGCCGCGCGACCCGACCGGACTCCGAGAGACAGTCAGCTTTGATTAGTCACAGATGGAATGCTTGGCGATTCTCCTCCCCCGGCGAATAGTGCGATTTCTTCTTGTCCTTGTGGAGGTGATACCGCGTTCGAGAGCGAATTCATGAATTTGAATCCAAGTGCGCGCGCGCGCGCGCGCCGTTCCATCAATCTCTCTTTTTCAGTCACCCGTTACATCTCGCGGGAGAACTGTCATAATCACGTACGTATCTCAATTCGGGGCTCGAATAACTCGCTACTTTTGTTGAACGTAATTTCGAGAATCTCTTAACTCGGTTTCGCGCGCGAATCGGGTGTCTTCTTTCTTCTTGTCTCTCCTTTGAAATTCGACGCGACCTTTCGAAAATAGTTTCGAAATCACGTCGAGATGATGACACTTACGACAATTCTATCGGGCGACGAATCTCCTAAGTGGGGAGAATTGCTCGTTGCGCGATAAAGAAATTTTCTTCCCTTCTAGAATCTTTGCTAAAAATTCTCTCATTAACACACAGGTGCGAATTCTCGATTGATTGATTAATCGCGCGAGAGAGGGAACGGTTGATAAAAATTTCCGTGTGCATTTGCGACGTGTGTGACCTGAGTGGTCGAGTTTCGCGCGCTCTCACACACAGGATAGAGTTACGCAAGAGGCGCCGGAGATTCTGATATAGGTTTTTGAACCTCCTCTGATCGAGCGTGACCGTTTTGTTTCGAAGATCTTTTCGCCGGTTCAACAGCAGCGGTAGCTCTGCGACGGTGTTTCCCCGACTCGTCGCAGCACTTCCTCCCCACCCGGGCGAAGTGCATTCAACAGGTATCTACACAACCGATGAGTTTGTGCTATGCTGCCCTGTCTTCTTCCCTGCACCCCTCTTCGCACGGGGGTTCCCTGCTATCTGGCGGATACACCGGTCCCCCGTCCGACCCCGCGCTCTCGTTTGCTTCGTCAAGGACGCCTGCGTCGGTAAGGTAGACCAACTCCCAATCTGAAGCTCTGGCTGGCTGGCTGCTCTGCTAGTTCTGCCAGTTCTGCTCCTCGCCAGTGCGCCGTCGACCGTCGAAGGTTGCTGGTCGTCGCTCCGATATTCGCTTTGGTTAATCGCCTACGTTCACGAAAATTCACTGATGTCTGTCTCAGTCGGAACATCGGTGTGACGTGGAAGAGTGCCCCGAGTGATCCTGAGGATCGTCGCGATCATCTGATCGTCCATCCTTTGAGGCTCGGTGAAGTGTTCCGTCGTGCAGCAGACACACAAGCCGGTTTCTCTCGCAGCCGGCAAGCCGGTGCTCTGAGCTGTCCTGGTAGGAATTTCTCTTGCTCTCTCTCTCTCTCTCTCTCTGTCTCTCTCCTAGCTATTTCTCCTATTCCCATTCCTGTGCAGCGGGGAAATCTGTCTTGGTGTGTTGCCGGCAAATGATCGGCCGGATCTCTAGCGGGGAATTTTGTCTGTAACTAGTTTTCGTATCGTCACTTTGCGAGAATAGCGAAGGGAGAATGAAATGGGCGGGGGGAGCCATCGTTAGGATCAAGGATTCTGTTAGCTTGCCGTGTGTACGAATGATCCTCTCGGATCCAGTGTGTTTAGTCTCAAATTTGAGCGTTTCCGGAACTGCGATCGAAACGCGTAAGACGATTTTCAATGTGACACCCGCGGTGATGCAATAATGATTTTGTTTTTTTTTTTGTTTTTATTAACTATTGACAGATAGGTATCGCGAGTGGTAAACCATCTGTTTGATAATGGATTATTTTTTTATCTGACATTTTTGATTGAACGTTACACACACAGATACAACTGATTGCTTTTTTTTTCTATTAAGTTATTCATGTTTGTGTCTTTTCTAAATATCCTCGTTGGTTTGAACAATATTTACGCTGTAAATAAATTTATTACGACATCTGATACGAATTGACACATAATATTAAATATACATATACACAACTACCAATTATACATTATTTATTACTAGTAACGTACACGTTAAACTCTAATGAATATTGAGCGGTTTTGATGGAAAACATATGACAGTTCACATCTACAACACGTACGCATGTGCGTGTGCTAAAATCTTTTTTCGTTTTAAATCAAAATGAGGTTTTTTAACGTGTTAAAATAAATGCGACAAAAATGATACGACATCGCAATTGTTTGATTTTTTGAATGACGGTCATTTTTCCACGACGCGATTACTAATAATGAAATAAGTCTCTTTGTACAGACGCAAAAGGTATATGTCTTGCGTAAATAAAATAAAATTTGCGTGTGAAATTATGTCTTAAAAAGAAGTCTTCTCTTTTGCGCACACAATGGTATTTTTAATTATCTCAAGTGTCGTTACTGAGTTATTTGACAATGGGATCTCTCTCAACTCACAACAGATATAAGACTCTTAAACTAAAATTCCATTAAAGTGATTTTATCACAAAGCTCCTCCTCCGGAATGTTTTTGGAGCGCATTTGTGCTGTTTTTCGAGCACAATCTCTCTCCGCAATCTCTCTTGTCTCTTGTAAATGAGAATTTCCCTAATAAAACATTTCTTTATTGTCTCATTGCAGAATTACGTAGCATAAAAAATTCACAAGAATATGTAAGATTCTCTCATATTATATTTAAGAAAAAGAGAGAGAGAAAACAAAAACGGAGGAAGAGGGCGGAGAAAGAAAGAAGCAGTTTTGTTTTCAAATCCTCTTCTTGTCAAATATTCTTGCTTTTATATACCACTTTGCGTACAATTGCATCCTGCATCTATTTGCGTCAAATGAAAATTTCCTGTTCCACAGACACGTTTTTTATTATCTCAACTCTTTAATTATCGAGGTATTTAGCAACAAGGAAATTTCAAACGCGCGAGACATTCCCGAGCTAAATTTTTTGTTGACACAATGTGTCTAAATCTCTTTCCTCTTTTTGTTTTTTTGCCGCTCTTATCGCGCAAAATATACATTTGCTAAAAATTTCCTCCATTCATTTCCTTCGCGCATTAACAAGTTATTTAACATAATAATAGAAATTCCCAGAGACGGAGGAAAAATTCTCTCGAATTAAATTTCCGTTCGAGTTAATACACAAGCAAAATTTTGTTCTGCATTATTTCGCGCACGGCGATTCGAGAGTGAGAGCGTTTGCGGAAGTGATGCGACATTACTGAATCCGGCGGTATTAGCATAACCGTTCTCCATCACATTATACCCTGCGAATAAATTCAACTCCGCGCGCGAGTTATGGCGAGATACTCAGGCGAGTGCTCGCTCGCCGATAAATAGGTTGAGCCCGGGCGCGATGAGGAGCGACAACAAAATTCCGCTCGAGATCACGTCTCTCGCAAAATGTTTGCCCAACCCCATCATCAGGCCGCGTCTAAAGTTGAATATCGTTTCTGTGAAAATTGTCGTGGGAAAAAAGGAAAAAAAAATAAATAAAGAAATCGCATATAACACACGCGAGAGATGCGCGGAAAACGGGAAGTAAATCCACCAAGCCTCGGTGAGTGAATTCGCACGTTAGAAACGAGTCGAGTTCGCAAACAACACACAAGCACGCCCGCTCGTTCGTTCGCTCGCTCGCGCGCGCGCGCGCGCGGGGAATATGTTATTTCGAGGGATTTCAAGTGCGAAATACCAATCGCGATCGCCACGGGAATCCTAGTGGACCGTGGCAATTCACAAAATTTCGCCGAGCTTTGTCGAGTCAATTTCAACCCACGTATCGAATTACGAACGTAACAGCGCAACAAGAGGTTGCAAAAGTGCATTAAATATGCAAACCGAATATCAGATTAATGGCTTCGAGATGATATTGACGGAGAAATAGTCGACAATTGGATTAAATTCATTGAACCGGCGTTAATATATCGGGTTAAAGAGAGCGTTAGCTCTCTGTGTCCGGCGGGAGAGAGAGGAAGCGTTATATAATTTAAATATAAACTCTCTCTCTGTGCGCAACACCGATATAATTGTAAATCCGCACTTTGACTTTTGAGAGCGCGCGCGCGCGGCTGCAAAAATATTTAGGAGAGATAAATTTGGAATTTACTTCTCTCTCTCTCTCTCTCTCCGTGTCTTTCCCGTCTGAAGACTGTAACGAGCGCGCGACGTCGCACGAGTGCACAAATATACACGCTGTTTCTAAAAGAAGAAGCTGCAAACGTGGCAGCAGTTTTTGTCGCAACCGCCGTCGGCGTGTATGCGAAATTATATACGATAATGCAAGACGCGTTTTAAAATATTGTCTTCAACAACGTACGCGTAGCGTTTTACAACAACGTTAGCTGTTTTTCTTCTCTTTTTGTTTTAATCGTGAAAAATGATAAAATATCGAATCTCGTCGGAATATATGCGAAAAGAGAGAGCCTTTGTCTCTCCGATGCTCCTCGACCTGTGATATTTCCTATCTCGAGTAATTTGTGCGACGCGTCAACTTTGCGCAGTCGATGCATAATAATTCTTTGCGAGAGACTGTGTGCCCGTTCTTTAAATCGACGCCTGGCAACGAGGTGAAAAGAAGTCACGTACACACGGCCGCACGTGGCTCGGAATAATTAGATGCGGCGAAATCGATCACCGGTTCGGTGTGTTCCTCTTTCTCTTTCCGCTCGCATCGCGCGGAATTTCCCAATAGCTCTGGCTTTTTTTTTTTTTTTTTTTTTTCAAAGTCAAGCCGCGTGTTTTCTCAAATGATGTAGTTTGTTGTTTCGATTTAAAGTCTCTTAATTAGATGCGTCTCGCCCCCTCTTTGACTCCTCTCAGAACATTGCGTAATTATTACTCCGACAAGCGAGCAGATATTAGTTTTATATCGTTTTATCTTTTTTTCGTACGGAAGAGAAAAAAAAGATTCGCTTTGCCACATCGGATTATTTTATTTATAAACGGATATTTACATGAGAGAAGGCCAACCGGTCTCCCGACAACGGCGCGGAAATATCGCGGTGAAAGGATTTTTATACAGGTCTCGAACGAGACGAAGGTGGGAATATTGCGGTGCTCAGTGAAAGGTTGAACTTTTTCGATACACCTCTGCTGCCGCGCGCGATACCTTTACCGCGAATAAATTTTCCTTTTCACGGTCACATGGATATGTGACATGTTAATATCGCGAAATTGTGCGTTCTCGAGAATCGAGGACACGTCGAGCAAGAGAAGCGCGCGGTCAAGGTTGCCATCACGAAGACTCTTGTCGCGCTGAAGAGAAATAGCTGTCCGACAACTGTGCTTCCATATTAATCGCGCGCGCGCGCGTTTCTCGATATATTTATCTACCGATAACGCAGTTGGAACTGTTCCACGATGTATCGAACAACATGAAAATGCATACATTGGAGTTCAGGTGGAAGAAGTAATGGAATTTATTTACATAGATTTACGCGCACGCGCAACAAGGTTATTTAACGTTGATTTTATACAAGTAATAACAGTGTATAACAGTGTCTACACGTAATTAATACAATATTTATACAATATTACGTTTTATTTGTTGTCATTATAAGCTATTCATTACACGCGGCGGGTGACGTGTTTGTTGATTGTTAATATTGTTTGTTCGTTACATATTCAAAATTTATACACACACACACACACACACGTTCACTTTGTATCAGCGCACTGCAAAACTGCGTTTTGCGCAAATAGTTCGCTTTGTGTTAGACTTCGAATTAGTGCGGTCATTAATAGATAGAATATCACGACGAGCCGCCACTTTGATGAGAAAGCGCGCGTTTATATTGCAAAACACTCGCTTATTCCGTATCATTCAAGCTGCATGACAGTTGATCTCTATTATCAGTTTCGATTATACAATCAATCCCCCATTTCCGACTTTGCGTGTACGATATAATTAAAATGCATTCGCATTACGTTCGATAGCGCGCGTACGGTGGTCGTATCGCTGTGTTAGCCGTAGTAAATAAATGGTCGTCGGCGACGTGATAATATCGTTCTCGTCGGCGAGACAAAAGCTTTTGCAAATTTACCTTTGACAAATTTATCCTTAAGCGTTCAATGATAAAAATTTATATACAAATACACAATACCGCATATATATCTTAATTTGTTTCAATTTTCATAACAATCGGTACTTACACGCGAAACTCCATTCATTTGTTCTTCTAACGAAGGCTTTTATATGGTCTGAATAGCCTAGCTTGTGCTCGATTCAAAATTTCAATTAACCATAGATCGATAAAGACAGATAAGAGATGATAACACGCGTGTACAATTTTCCCGACAATTGCAAACGCAGTGAGTTTGCTAGATACGTAAATAAACATTGTAAATCGTCGCGCACGCACGCGCGTACGACATTTCCAATCGCCTGATTCCTAACAAGATCCAAAAAAGACGATGCAACGACAGGCGCCGAGCATTTTCCGCGCAAGCTACAACGAAACAATTACGATTACCGACGACGTGTCGATTAATACAAGCAGATTGCCGAGCAAATTTGTGTATATTATGTCGGATGAAATTGCCACGCAATATTCGAAGCTCCGGCACTTCTTGCGGCGAGAACCGATCGCGAGAACGATCGAACGTCGCAACAATGAACAGAGCAAACAATTTCCACGCGCGAAACCGGTGCGGGTATTAAATTTAAATATACGCGTATATATGCGCTCGCAAAGTTAATCCGCGAGATGTGACGGTTGCATGTCGCTGAGTAAAATATCTACCCGTTTCGCTACGGAGAGAGAGAGAGAGAGAGAGAGAAAGAGAGAAAATCAGAGACCGCTGATATGGAACACCGCGAATTCATTAGGAAATTAAGTTTGCGCGATAAATATTCCGAACCGGGTCCGTTCGGGACGTAACACACGCGCACGGAGTTTTATCTGAAACCGATCCCCCGAAGTGCGTCTCCCTTTTCTTCTCTTTCTCGAATTGCAATGCAAATCGCGCCGCCGCCCGCCGCCAATTTACCAAACTTGCGTTTATATTTTTCATCGATTCGACGTTTACTCTCTCTCGCGTGTGTATCTCGTTATAAATTGCACACAACGAAGGCACTATATGTATATTTTAAATGCAATTCCATGATCAAGAGCAGATTAGCGGTGCGCATTTTCGCGTGATTAAGTGATGCATTTGAACCGGCGATTCTTTTTCGAAAAAAACAACGATGTGCGTGCGCGCAGTCCGTCCGGAATTATATGTATTACTTTCTCTCATTGTATTTTTCGCGCGCTGAACGATACAACAAAACAAAAAATATCCCTAAATATATTATCCGCAGTAGTGTCCAAGCGGTCAATTTGACGTTTAAACGCGGCTGTCTCTAATCTAAAATGCGTTTCACACGCGCAACACATCGCAACGACACGCGTGTGCTCACGATGCGTGCTCACGCGCGCGCGCGCGCGCGCTATGCAAGCAGAAACTCACGTGCACACACACGTATATATTCGGGCAATACGGACGCACACATCCCGGCCACATATGTGGAAGCACGGGACTTTGTATATTTGTCATTCGGCCGTAATGGACGACGAAGCGTGCTCGTCGGCGGCGATTTACTTCCACGCGAACAATGCGGGTTAACCGCGCCGAGAGCTCCGTGAACACGCGCTCTCTTTCTCTTTCTCTCTCTCGCTCTCTCGTTCTCTCTCTTTTTCTCTCTCTCTCTCTCTCTCTTTCTCTCTCGACCCTTAGACAACACCTCACTTTCAAGAGGACAAGGGGCAGTGACGTCGTAGCGGACCGCGAATGAAATATCGCGGGACCACCGAAGAGAAACGAGAAACGATCCGAGAAGAGAACATCCGAAGGGGTGAAAAGGCCGAGAGAAAGCACTCGCACGCGGAGGGTTGAATTCCTTTCTATTCCCGCGTGTGATTTACGTTCTCTCATATTATCGGTTCTCTGTCATAATAACAATATATAAAATTCGATAAGTATGCAACTATCCGCGGAGACGCGCAATATATATATACCGCATCCGTTAGATCGTCGATATTATACGGGCAAACGCGCGAGATCAAAGCGCAATCGAATAACTTTTTCCTCACCGTAACAAAAACGAAAAATTTATATAACACGTATTTATTCGATAAAAAAAAAAAAGAAAAAAAAATTGCTCAGCCGAGAGAGGAGAGTATACATCTTTCTCTCTGTGGCCGGCGGTACCTCGCCATCAGTTATCACACGTTTCATTGATGTAACTTGAAAAAAAAAAAAAAAAGAAAAAAAAAAACTAGAAAATATACAACTGACAAAAAATACTGTCCGCCGCCTGTCTTATTTTTCAATTGATAGAAATTTCGCTAGCGGCGCACAATGAGAGAAAATGTCGCGTGACAAACGAGCATCGAGGCCCGCGAATTGATCTGGAGGTAGAATTAATCACTAGAACTGTCATGCTTACACCCGCGGAAACGCGAGAGGTTGGACACGACGCAGGAATTGGGGCAGGATTTCAATTTGAATAGTTCGCTTCGCTTTTTGCCTGCACTTTTTTGTTTTGTAGCACCGCGCGCGCTGCAGGTGCAACGAATATATGTCACGCGGCCGATCATCGGTGATTGAAATACGCCTTCGCCTGGAATTCGCACACACTCGAACGGGAAATTACATTGCAGTCTCTCTGTCGTCGACTTCTCACCAAATTACGAGTGACAATCATTTTTTCGCGAAACAAAATTCTTTTCACGCGACGCCATGAGAATTTGAACGAACAAAGGCCACCTATTGTGATAGGAATCTGCGCGTGTGTGTATTGCGCGCGCGCGCGCGCATTCAACTGCAACGATGGAGAATTGTTGCTAATTACAAACTTGGAAACTTTTACTGTGACATTAACGCGTGACAGAAATTTGTATTGTGAATTTCATATCCGTCATCAACGGAATACTCACACAGCACGCTCGCACGCGTTACATCATCTCTCCTTAACTCCTTACGTAAAACTATTCCGCCGCGATTATCTAATCTCGCTTTCGTTTGTTTGCGAGCTATGCTGTGCCGAAAGTCGCAATTTTTTGTCGACAATTTCGAAAACAATATCGTATCGAATTACGACTGATAAAAAAAATGTTGCAAAATCAACTTTTGTGAGAAGATCTACGTTTTAGAAATACATGCGACATTGATTAAAAAATGCTCTCTCTTCGAGAAAAAAAGAAATATTAAGAATTACTTGTCTCTAAATCACTTACTTGTCACACTGTGTGTTAGGTCGATCAGAACGTCGACGCGAGAACGAGACACAATTCCACGGGACGTGGAAAGGGCGCGCGTTGCGTCGCGCTGATTTGAATAGCGGCGGTTGTATAGAATGTTTTTCGCCTTTCTTCTCCCGTCTTTTTTATTTCCGAAACATCAATATCGAATGCACGAACGCGCGCAAGCAAGCGGAATATATCTTCGTCAAAGTCGTGGCCAAAAAAATTGCTTCAAAGAGCGACGCGACGTCGGGATCTTCGTATCATCTCATGTGGCTTTTATCGCCGCAATGCTGCGCACATATCAAATTAATTCGTTTTTTTCGGATCGAATTATCGAGGCGCGATAATGACCAGACGCGCAGATTCGACATCCAATTCTCACGCCAATATCTCGTATGCCAAAAAAAAAAAAAAAAAAAAAAAAAAAAAAACGCACAGATTTCCCCGCAGTCGCTACATCCGATATATATGTATATTTTTTTCTGATGTTTATCCTGCCTTTCCCGTTATTTTCCCTTGCATTTTTCTCGTCGACTTCCAAGGTCGACCTTCGGTTTTTTTCTTCTCATTTGAGTTGTACAAAGCGACATTGCGTGAAAAAATTAAATACAGGTTTCGACTCTCCCAAGCCGCGGCCGGCTAAGCAGTGATTAATGGACCGAATTCGTTGAATCCAAAACTGACGGGAAATCGGTCAGTAGTGAAAAAAATTGGAACTCCGGAGAAATAGCGAGAGAGGAAGGGAAAGAGTGGTGCGGAGTGAGAAGAGGAAGGAAGGTAATTTTTATCCCGTCCGAGTGCGGACGTCCGCTTGTGACGAGAATTCGAGGGCCATGACGGACGGCGAGCCCAACGTGAGTATGTCATAAACTTCTTTTTTTTTTTTTCAGTCTTGCTAACCCTTCGTGTTACATATAGTACTTTCGAACGGAGAGTTCGGATCGTATCGTAAAGTTGCGTTTACGAAATTGATATTATAGCGGTAGTATACATGTATATGTATGTATAGTACATATGTATACATATACGTAGTGTTCCCGAAGTCTGTTATATATGTATGCGCAAGCTTTCAGGATAACGTAAAATTTCCCAGTCTCTTTAAGAAGCTAAAATGTGATGATCAAGCGCCTAAAGCCGCGCAAAATGTGTTTGCAAAATAAATATTATATTTTGCAAACAAAAATATTTCCGTTGTTCGTAACGCGAATGAAAACCGCGAAATGGAGAAATTATTTTGATAATATCTATTATCGTATTAATTGAAAAGTATTGAACAATTTTGCGAAAAATCAACCTCAAATTGTTCATCAAAATATATACATTATAAATACAATAAACGCGCGAGTTGTGTGTTTTATTTAATGCCAAAATTCTATATTTGATATTGCGCGAGAAAATACTGCTATTTAATTAAAACAAAAACTGTGTCTCGATATTATAGACGTTTATTTTCTAAAAGTGTGAAAATGTTTTGCGTACGCAGGGTGCGGGAAAAAAATTCGTTTATGCGTATAAATATTTTATTGAAGAGATTGTTTTTCAAGTTTTTTTCCAGTGATCTCTTTTCAAAGCGACCACATGTACCAAAGTTTATATATACTATAGCCACAAATATGCAAAATAAAAAATAATATTATGTAAAAGTATACGATAAAATATTGTAAAATAAAAGATTCGCACGAACTTTGGTGTCGCGGCGTGTTTACAATAGCACGCCGCGCGACGATACGTAAAGTTCGATGTATTTCGAAATGCACGCAGTTTCTCCGATCACGATGATAATATTTCGTGAAACTGACGGCGCGCAAAATTAACGCGATCGATGAACCGTCGTCGTAAACACGCGCAGAATCCGTCAAATACGATCAATTGAATCACATCAGGTCCCAAGCCCCAGAACAGATATTCGTCAAATATAAAAGAAGAATCGCATTCGAGTACACAGCGGGGTGAAAGCATGCAATTTTTGCAATTCGCCAGCGCAAGATTGTCGATGAACAGTTTTACGTTTCGTGAAATTACGGGGAATCGATTTGCATTGTCGATTTGTATTGTCGATTTGCGAACCGTCAATCGTATTTTAATTTAATATAATTGAATTTATTAATTACATTTTGATTTGTTTGTTTTGTTGAGACAATAAATAAAATAATTACTTCGAGAGCTAGCTTGTCTCTGTTTACAGACTGTTTGCGACTTCTGCTCCGTTACTCTTGAATAGCAACGGCTTTGCACCGGCAAATTCTCTTTTTTCATTCAGGGTGTCGCTATCACAGCTCGGTCTATCTCTTTGTTTAGACCCTCCGTCGCGTTAACGAGCTCGTTAACGAGTGGTCTTACTTAAAAGCGTAGTTTTCGTTCTCGCACCCTGATGCACATGGCGATTATGCGCATTTCGTGAGTAAATAAAGAAAAAAATTTATAACTTTCTACGAATAGAAGTTTATGCGCGTTAAACACTTGATTACGTATATTGTATTTGATTTATTTAAAAGTGTCATGCGTCAAAATCTCTGTGAATACAGGTTTAGAAATTTCTACATAATGCGAGCTCATATCTCGCCGGGTCTCACCTGTGAGTGTATTTTTTAAAGAATTTCACATAAAACACCATAAGATCGCATACGTATTTTCTGACTTGCGCTGAATCTCGTTGCCGGGAGATATTGTGCGGAAATGAAATCTCTTCACATTATGCAAAATCGCGAAGGAACTGCGCGATCGATTCTTATTGGCTAGTCAAATTCGCGCGATTTTGACAATGTGTTAACCACCTATGTGCGCATATTAAAATATACGAGAGGAAGAGAACGAGAGAGGAAGAGAGAGAGAGAAAGAGAGAGAGAGAGCGAGAGAGAGAGAGAGTGGGAATGAGGTTTCCTACCATTAAGGGATCGTCTGTAACCGAATTCCATGTATCGGTTTGCCTTCCGCCGGAACTTAGAGCATTCGAGCAATTCGCTCGAGAGAACTATCGCGCTATCTCTACCGTACGCGCCGGCAATAGCATCTGTTTCGCCCCGCCATATATTTCATCTAATCCATAAGCATAATACAGGAAAACGCACGCGAGAGGCAGGCACGCAAATGTCTGAGACAATTTTTTTGTTTTGTTTTTTTTTTTTTCGTTTTGTTTTTTCCCTCTCGCGTTATTTTCCCAAAAATTTGAATATTTTTTCTGGTAGAACGCGAGAAGCGTTGAAATTATTTCGACGTATGAAATTCCGAGCGAAAACAAACACAATCGCGCGATAATAAGTAAATAGCGTTTTTGAATTTTATCATTCTTTCGAATGTTGCGTTTGAATCGCGCGCAATTGCGAAACATTATTCAATCACGGGTGTCGCTGAATAAGAGTCCGCGATCAAGCGACGTACCAATGTGCGCCGCGCAACAACATTCGCCCATATATCACGATCAAAGTTCAAGCAATGCCATTTACCACAGAATAAGTCCGTAAACGTCGCGCAGTCATAAAGATATATCTTGGCTCGAAAGGGGGTCGACAGTTTTAGGTGGCTGCGAATAAAGACGTCGATGGCATCCGGTTTATTCTAATCTAGCAAAGTGCTGCTCGCGAGGAGAGAGAGAGTGAGAAAAAGAGAGAAAGAGATAGCGTCGCAGCGAAAAGATCTCACGGAAACATAACTGAAGTTCTAAACGGGAGAACAAACGGTTCGAGATGGCGCGTTCCCATTGATAAACTGTGCAACAGTTCCCGGGGAATCTAATCTCACGTATACCCTAATACTCGCGATTAATTAAGATTAAGTTTCGGATACAATAGCGCGCAGCCGTAATGGCAGATCGCGCGAAATGTGCGTTCGCTTCGAATTATATTGTCTACAGCGAAATGTCTAGGTCGCTCTCGGAATATTCGCAACAATTAATCTACATTTCTTACTTATTCATTAACCACGCGCATGTATATTACAATTTACTGATAAAATATCAGTTGGAGGAATAGCGACACACACACACACACACACACACACACACACACACACACACACGAGCTCGTATATATGACCTTACTATAGTTTGAAACTCTCGGTATAACACATCGATCCTTCCACACATGTCCGGATATACAAACCGTGACGATCGATGTCTTACGTACAGCTCTCTCGACGTAACGAATCACCATCCGGTTTCACAGCGGCGTTACAATTAACACCGTTACATACGTCGCTCCCTAATGACATTTCGTTGCCAAATTGGCTTGTTACGGCCAAGTTATACGGCCGTATTTATCTTCCGTTACCCGTGCGCACGGCAAACTCACACGCGGCCGGAGCGCCCGTCATCCCGATGGAAATGAGTGGAACCAATTGCAATAGCGAGATCCGCGTAATCGCTCTCTGTAATCGTTACGACACGGCGCTACGCCGTTTTAACCGCACTAATTTTAGCGGATAAATCCCCGGCGAAGAGAGTGCCGAACGAGAGGATTATTTTATCCTTGAGAGGGAGGTTTGCGACCTCCCCCTTCGCCTCTCTGTGAAATTTGCTCGTGCGTCGAATAATTTGCGCTTCGCGACGCGCGCGTGTGTGTGTGTGACGCAGAAACGACGCGCGAATCACAAAACGAAGCGAAGCTGTGAATTTATTTAAAAAAAATTAAAACTAAAATTTGAACGCGCAAAACTGAAAAGAGGATCGAAAAATAACGCGCTCGCGATAAAATTAGAAACTGTGCACAACAATTTATTTTCTCTTGCGCGTTCTTTAACGCGCGCGCGCGCGCGGAGATTTCTCATATTTCTGGGAGACTGTTTATCAGTTTGTTATCTTGCGATGTGATGTTTGTTACGGCGGACAAAAGGGAGACCGAAATTGGTTCCACGGTTGAAATGAAAGCGCATCCCTCGCAATGTTAGCTACGAAAGCGCTTGCAACGATAATACCGCAAGGGGTATTACTGTTTATGCGTGCACAATAGCGGCTCGTCGAGCGAAAGGGGTCAAATGTTTTGTGCGCGCTGCGAAGGAAGGTATGAAACCAGTGCACGCGCACAATGTGCACGAAACTCGATGTATGTAACACATTCGAAATCGTAAGTTACGACGATCGGCTGGCATTTGTCCCGAGTTTGCCTTCTCTCCCCTCCCTCTCTCTCACGATTGAAAATAAAGATGCAATTTCGGCGAAGAAAATGTGAATTTACCGATTTGTTTTTCGCGTTCGCGTTTGATATACGATTGCTATATCGCTGCTCTCTCGGAAGCGAGCGTGTCACAACGGGAAAATTTATATTTTTCGTTCCTCAACACCAAAACCCCCCGCGACTATATAACCGTTTTTTTTTTTATGAGTTTTGAACTTTTGGTCGATAATTCATCCATCAGTTTTTATATTTCGATTATTATCAAAGAGAGCGATGTAAATCCGACGGCGCGTGGAAAAAGCAATCTTTGCACTTGCGCGTATCGGAAAATATCGCCGTGTTTTTAAGGGCAAGATTTCATCAGGCTGTGTGTTCGCGCGGGTCTACAAGAATATTTTTCAATAAATACTATTCTACGTGACTCCGTTTCGTTTTTCTTTGACGTAAAATGTGTTTTATTACGGAACGCGTAACGTGTGGAATCGCAAATGACTGGCGCAGCAAGGAAACATTTTCCCTGTTCTTTGAAGAGGCGACGTGTCTCGGAGAAATAAGAGGCGGAAGTTTGATTCGTTAACTTCGCGCTGCCACGACGGCGGACGTGGCTATGCAAACAGTGAAAATTCAGCCAACGAAACGCGCGTGTTCGCCTCCGCGCGCGGTGCATGTGCCTTGAACAAACCGATGCTCTCTCTCTCCTCTCGTCCGCGCTCTCAAAGAGAGACGCCGGGCACAAAGTGATTCTC